TAAAAATAAAAAGGTTTTGTTTATTTAATGTAAGAAGAAATGAATTTTGATGATTATATCGTGTAATAATAATTACATTTGGTGTATCTAGTTTTTGTGGTCTTTGTTATCGTCTCAAGATTACGAGTTCGGAGTATTGATAAAAAAAACTTTAGTTTAACATTATGTCTATAACATCCAAAAACTGAAGAAGAAGTTTGGGGGAGTTCCTGATACTCACTTTAGCTTAAACGTATGTAAAATCATATACGTAATAGCCATTTGTTTATAATGTATTAATAGAAGCATTGAATTGTTGATCAAGATATTGGAATCATGTTTCAAAGTAATAAAGTCTATGACATTACGAGTTCCTGATACTCACTTTAGCTAACACACACGCCAAAGAAAACCGTATATGTCCACAAATCATTTAGTAGATAGTCAATCTAATCCAAACAATGAACATACATAAATATGCCAAATAGAATAATGAAAACATAACAAAACATGGATATATTCTGAACAACGAATCCTAAGTCCTTGTATGGTCTTTTTAATGTGTTGGTAATTTAAAAAAATAATAATTACTACTCCAATCTAACAAGGTCAACTCTACTGCAAAAACATCAACAGCTAGGCGTTCCCTTCCATTATGGTGGATGGATAGCGATAGTATGAAGTTATTATAATTTTTTTTTTTAGCCTTTGTATTAAGCTTCTCTATTTTTTTTTAATAAATGCTTTACTACAAAAGTTTTTTTTTAGTGAATCCCAGTCATTACTTTAAACGAACCCTCTCCCTAATGATAGTGAGACACGTTAAGTTAATTTCACTTCATTAATCTCATCAAAAGTCAAATTAAAGTTTCATTCTTTGATGTGTTAATTATTTATATTGTTTCTCAAAAAGAATTATTTATTTAACATAACAACCCTATTTTGTTTACATAATTAAAATTCTTAAAAAAGAATTTTTGGTTTTTTTATAAATATTTAATGTTTTTGAATGCTCTGGTTGCACAGTTTAAAAATAGCATTGCCAATTCAAGAGTTTAATATAGTAATGACTAATATAGTTCTTAGTCATCTTATGTTATTAGAAATAACCAATCTGAAGACTGAAAGGTATCTTCCAAGAAAAGAACAAATACAATTTAAAAATATTGGAGTCCATGAAACATGCCGATCAATTATATAAATACATTGATATCCATATATACTACATATAAACAATGAAAGTGAAGAGCATAATTTCTGATTGAAAGAAGAAAAAATATGGTAGACTCAGTTTCAAGTATCACGACGTATATCCAAGACGTAGCTAAAGGAGAAGGCCATAGCAAACTAGAGTCTTTAATTCTTGAAGGTCTCAAGATCATCCATATCGAAAAAGGGATTTTACGGTGTAAATTAGTCATTACGGATCGAGTTTCGGTAACGTTCTCTCTATATATAAATCCTCAAAGGTTATAGATAAGTAATTTGTTTTTGTGATTATATATTTCTTAACACTTTCAGATCTTTGGAATTTATTCTTGATTGGTATTTCTAAATTACACCAAAGAGTGTGGTTATATATATATACGATGATTTTTCTTAAGGGAGAAGATGGGGTTTGGCACGCTGGAGCGATTGCGTCGGTGATTGACATGATCGGAGCCGCCGTGGTGTACTCCGCCGGGAAAGGACTCCATGTCTCTCTTGATATCAACACTTCATTTTATTCCACGGCCAAGATTCAAGTCTGAGTTTCCTAATTCATTACAAATTCGGTTATATCAATATCTTTAAAAAAAGTTTTAGTAAATTAAACATAAATCGTAAATTTACAATTTAGATGAATGTTTTATAGTATATTAAAAACATAAAGCGAAGTTTAATAAGATTCACGCTTCTATATAGCTTTTCTAGATATATAACATGCATTATTATATACTTGTTAAAATGTTTATCTAAATGTGATAAAATAAAAATGCAGGAAGAAGTTGAGATAGAAGGAAGAGTGGTAGCAAGCAAAAAAGATTTAAAAGGAGCAATGGTTGAGATTAGAAGAGAAGGCAATGGAGAAGTTATAGCCACAGGAAGAATCTGGATGTCACAACTTAGTCTCAAAGTCAAAGACAAAGTTCCTCACCTTAGCAAGCTTTAAATATTAATGTCTATTTAATTACATGAATTCCATTTGTTCTATAACTTTCAATAGAAGAAGAATGAAAAAAAAAGATATAGAAGTTCATATGTACCATATAATATTATAAATTATGTTCATATGAGAGAGATATATATAGAGTGTAAAAATTCATCTAGTGAGAATCTCAAATATAGAAAATTTGAAGGAAAAAAAAAATCAATATTGTATTGATAGAAAGATAACTACCAAAATCATAGCAACATAATCTTAGCAATAGAATGTTATTTTAAATTAAATAAGTAAAAAGATCTATGTAGAATCCTTAGCTGGCGGCGG